TTGTAAATCGATTGAGTGCAGTTTAAGTTAAGTAAGCCGTAACAGTAAGCAGGGAATGGAAAGAGTGGTGGTATCCAAATGAAGGATTAATTAATCATTGTTATTTTGTGTGCGAGTTGCAATCAAAGAGAAGAAGAAGTTGAAGAACCAAAAGTTCAGTCCACTTGGCTTAAAATATACTCTGTGACCGCTCAGATCAATTGTATGCCTTCTCTTGTCGCTTTTGCAATACATTTTTGATTTGAAACCGTTCGGCAAAAGTTTCGTGCCATTCATCAGTCAGCCAGTTGGAGCGAAGCGCCCAGAAAGCAACTAAAACTTTCCACCAAAAGTCGGCTTGGAAATTGAATTTGTTTTTCAATTAAATTGCCATAATTGAAATGGCATAAGCCAAATACAAAATGGCAATGGCAAACAGCTCCGAGAGGCGAGATCCGGGAGCCGAGAATCGAGAGTAAAGCGTCGTGAATCCAGTTCAAATGTGCATTATGAAAATTCGTAGCAGCGTTGAAAACTTTTAACCATAGGCGGAGGCTATGAGCATTTTGTTTCCCAGACAATAGCTAAAGCAGGGCGTGGCCCGTTAGCCAGGTGGCTGAATGTGACTAAGCCGACTGAGCTGCGGTGTGGTGGGCGGCAGCGAGTTGTTGTCAAAACTTTACTGCACTGTTATTGTTGCAGATCGAGAAAGTTTTGCCGTCACAAACTTGGGCACTGCCACAAATGGTAAAAAAGACACATAGAGAACGAAACTTTATGTGGCAGCTGAAAATTCGCTGGGCCAGCTTGAAGCGCTTTAAGTTTTGCCAAATGCCAAAGATTGCGCATACGCAGAGTTGCCCTTGTTAAAAGTCAAAGTCGCTGCATTGCTAGGTCAGCGAGGCAGCTGCCCCTGTGCTCACTTGGCCACAAAATGCCGACCACAAGGTCAAGGTGTAGGTCGGGCAGCTGTACAGCATCTTTATCTAGTTCGGCCATGTATGCAAAATTTTTGACATCCATCAAGCGCTTTGCCAAAATCCAGGCGCATAAGCAAAAATTGTGATTAAAAGCGTGTTTTTATGAAGCATTGGGTCGTGACCCAGGGCAATAAACGGGACCCGAACCGAATGTATAAATTAGCACGCCCCACAACGCTGGCAATAAAACGTTTTGAGCTACGTATACGTAGAAGTACACGTTACGTATACGTAAACGTAATACGAGCCACCAGCGCTTTTCCTGAAAGTAGGCAGCCGAATGACACGCGCCAAGGAGAATTTGTAGAAAGTCGTAAAACGAAATAAACACTTTAAGGCGCAAAGTCATAAAAACACCAAAATAAATTCAACGCCCAGAGGGTGTGGCGGGTATTATTCGGGTATTATGAGTGGAGGGCGTTTCGCGCGGTTCTGCGTGCCACTAAAGTTTCACTAAAACCCAACTAAAGCTCAGGGCGACATTTTGCGTGAGTTATTGCCCACTGTTGACAACTGTTGCTCGGTGGGCTCGACTTACGCTGTTGCAGTGGATTGGAGCACCCAACCACCCATTGGAGGGGTTAGTGGCAGCTGCAAGGTTCTCAGTTCAGTTTGTTCAGTTCGTCCCACTTTGCAAATGAAATGTCAATCTGTGCAGCAGGGCAACCACTTAAAAACTCCCGAAAAAAATGTTTCAAATGTAACTGACAGTCAGCTCGTCGCAACGTCAGCCATTCATTCATCCATCCATCCGTCCATCAATCAATCAATCAGTGCGCTTTGCGCGCCTAAGCCTGATGGCCAAGTTCGTTGGCTCCTTCGCAATCGACATGCAATTTATGCGAAACGTTGACATTTATCGCCTGACATTTTGAACTCTGTGCACTCACATTATTTGATTTGTAGTTTTGCTCAAAGCGCACGAAAAGCGTCCCGAAGTGTAAATATAAATAAATTGTATACAAACATTCAAAGGGCCTCAAAAGATATATGTATCTAAAGGATTTTTCAAAGGGCTGCTGCCTTGTTAGCTTTTCAGATTATTGGGCTGTATTTAAATTTCAAAATTGTATGGTAGCCAGCTTTTAAATAGAAGTCCTCTGCGACAAGGACCAAGTTTTATTGCATCGAATGGAATGTAGCTAGAATTATTCGTTTCATAGACAGTTGATATTATTAACAAATCGCAGGGATAAAATATATCAAGAATGATTTAACTGTTAATATGCAAGCTAAAAATTAACAAAAAAAAAATTAACAGAATCCTTAGGACTTTTAAACTTAATTCATTTATGACACTCTTGCCTCTCGAATTGAACTAAAGGACTTTTAAATTGTGTAAAGCTGTTAATGCGAGGGAGCCATTTTTTAAATGTTGCTTTAATTGCAGGTAAATGTTTATTTAACATTCATTTGAGTTATTTTATTTTTTTTTTTCTTTAAATCGAACACGCGCAGTAATTGAATTGTATTTGTATTTGCATTGAAATTTTAATTGTTTGCTCTGGCTGTTGACACTGATGGTTGTGTATATTTTTTTTCTCTTTTTCCGAGGCTTGCTTTGAGTCTTTGTGGCAAATAATTGAATTGCGAAAGCAATTACAAGAAATCTGTTTGTTTAAGCAGCAGCATGTGCAACGGTGCGTATGCGTAATGCAGCTAGTGGGCCATCAAGCAGCGTCTGTCGACAGACTGTTAAAGCACGACCGATTCTTTGTTCGCCAAATATGCTAATGAACGGGCATCTTTGGTTTGTTTTACGCAACGCTGCGCTGATTGAGGTCTACCCAGCTAGGCATCCAGGGACCAACTCGATTGTTATCATGCACGGCACGTAGCGAACTAAGTACAAATATATACATGTACACAGTAGCATGGAACTCGCTGACATAATTGCAGAACACGCACACACAAATTGGACAACTTCCTGGCCAATCGCTTCCAAACAAAACGAAACGACAAATGTTTCAATTAAGAGTCGCAAAAAATCAATGCCCAAAATCCGTGACACCTTAAAAGCCAAAAGCTAAGAGCGCTCCAAGCGAAATGCAATGCCAAGGAGGAAGTTTTAAAATTGCAGGAAAGTAAGCAGCCAAGCATCAAACAAATTGTAAAGATTGGAGTTCAAACAGCCAAAAAAAGGAAATAAAAAAATGGAAAAGTGGAAAAAGGAGGCAGAATGAAGTGCACGATACCTTAAAGATGGTTGACATGCTCTTACGCCCCCTAATAGCAAATACATCAATAAAGGGTTTGGCAAAGACAAAAGGCGAGCGAAAGCCAACTTCTGTCCCATTCGTGGCACTTCCAAGGGGCGCGAGGGGTGTACGCAATGCAACCTTGTGTCGAATTGTGTAACCAGAAATGAGCACAGCAATGCGGCCGCTAAATATAACCACATATAACTGGCGCATGGCGTTTTCGCTTCGAATATTTATCATGCCATTTGCCTTTTGGGCGGGCTACGAAACACCAAAGTCAATGCCAATCGCAGCGGCAATAGTATTGACAATGCTGTCTCCATCCCAACTCCTGACGCCACCTTGGTGCGTGCTGGGCACAGTAGTCGCACATCGCAGTTCAAGCCTTTGCCTGACTTACGGCCACAGTTCCTAACTTCGATGCCGGAAAAGTTGGCACGTGCTATCAACATGCACGGCGCAAACAAAAGTGGAATTGATTGCGTGCCAGATGTTAAAGGGAAATGAGCCAAAAAGCTTTGGCAAGCCTTACCATACACACAAAGGCGGTGGGCGTGGCTAAATGAATGAGTGAATTCCTTTGCTGTACGTCGAGCCAGTATAAATAAGTATATTGTAATTAAAATGACGACAGCAGCTGCTTTTAATAAACTGCCAAAACAAATATAAAACAAAAATCATAAAAAGCTGTTAAGCTTGCCGAAAAGATACCCTTCATTTAGAATAATAACAAATAATAAAATAATTTAGCATTACTCACGAAGAAAAACAAAATGGAATAAAATTTACCCAATTTTTGGACTGTAAGAAGTTCTGTGTGATTTTGGGGAAGAGTACGGAAAATGTATCTAAAAACATCTGAACTGCTTTATACCCGACTGGGCCATTTTAATTGGTATTGGGTATAAAAAGAAGACATAAGCTTGATTGCGAATATTTGAGCGGATTGTCAGGGACTACACATAATTAACAGAGCAAAGAGTTGAGTTGCGCAAAAGAGGCGGTTGAAGGATGCCGCAAGGGATTTCAGCATACACAAATACTTAAGTGAAAATGTATCTGAAGTCTCAACCGAAAGCAAAGCAAAGAAGTAGAAATGTTGAGCTCTAGCAGCGTAATTTTTCATTATATGACTACGGGCTGGGAGCAGTTGGTGTTGTTTGGCATGAAAAGCAAACTGTTTACATTTGTTTCACTTCAGCTGTCGGGCAGGGAGCGAGCGGGGGCCACATATTCATTATCTTCTGGCTGTCAGACAGACAGTAGGGGAGCGAGTGGAGCAACTAAGGTGTTATCGCCGTCAACAATGCGAATTCGCATTACGGCGCTTCAGGTGAGGCTCATTAAATCATTCGGTAATCAGAGCCCAACGCTTTGGCTAACCTTTCTAACGACATCTTCGGCAACTTGCCTTTCGCATTGTGCTCAAATTTCGCGTCTACCAATCACAGTTGAATACTAATTAAAATTTCAACTTGACGTTTAAGTGTGCTTCGTAATTATTGAATATAATTTTCGATGAAAATGTTTTTTTTGAGCCATGCAATGCGCGCTGAAATGTATTATTATTAATTTGACATCGTTTTTCTATTTTTTCCTCATAATAAAACAAATCAATAAATTACTTCAAATCGGAAATGCCAATAACTGTTTGATAAATTTTAATTTATATATCTAACAACGGCAGTTATCGTCAATCAAAACTCTTGAGTGGAACTCTTATTACTATTTCTGTAACAGAAATAAATCAATGCCCAAATAAACGCGATAAATTTGCATAAATATAAATCCGATTGAGAAACTCGATAGCAGCATAAGCTAAACGGTAAACGTTGCATTGTATATTGCGGGGATTTAAACATTTTACTTATAATGCTCGTAAATCGTTATAATTTTTTGACTGATTTATGACTGCAGTTGGCAGTTTTGTGCCACATCTAATGTTCGACGCTGCTCAATGGCACATAAATTCCCATCAATAATTCAAATCTAAAGCTTTGTTTGCCACCCGTATATGGCCCTTGCCAGTGAGCGCCGAGTTGTATGCTACGTTTTGTTGCCACTTGTGAATCGAACTATGTCAAACCATGTGTGTGTATGAGTGTGAGTGTGTATTGTCCGTTTTTCGAAATATATATTTGACGTGTGCCATTATTTGACTTAGCTGCTGTACCTTGTCAAGGGGCCAAAGGAACACTTAATCCTTTCGAGCGTTGGCCACATTCAAATTGTGTTGATAACATTTAGTGATAGCTGCCATAGCATGGCTAAATCGTAACAAAAACTTAACAGTTCAACTATTTAGAAGCTCTTTGGTGTGGGGATCTTAGACCTAATCACGACTCGGTTGTTAGTTAGTAAGTAGTTTCATACAATTATGAAGATATAACTTATGGCTACGGTTAAGTATAAACACTCTTAGAAATAACGGTTAGTAGATTGCTTAGGATTCTAGGATGCGCTGATAATACTTACAGGTTTTTCACTTGCATTGGGATTAGTTAATCGTGCTTTTGGGCTGGGATTGCTACGCATTTATTGATGCGTGTAGGAACCCAATTTGTGGCCAATTTTAGACCAGCTCCGTTTCCATTTGTGCGGCCTCCACGGTCTCCACGATGGTTGTTGTGGCCGCCGCGACCGAATCTCATGGAACGTATCGGTTGGTCAATGCGCCATCATCATCATCATCCACATTGAGGCCACTGTCGGTGCAGCAGCAGCTGCACAGGAGCCAACTGGTTGCATTGCAGCAGCTTTTTGGTCAAATTGCAGAGACCTGCTCCAGCTCGGCGCTGGAGCGGCCCGAGTTCATGACCACCACATTCTTGGCGGCATAGTCCGTGATGAAGCGATCGCTATTGCGTGGATGTATATTGCCCACGTCCTGGGCGCAGCACCACGGATTGCGCATTGTCAGTATGCGCTTGAACGCATCCCGGAATTCCTTGTTGAAAATTGAGTATATGATCGGATTGAAAGCGGAGTTCGAGTAGCCCAACCAGGTAAGTATCTTGAATGTCTGGCCGCCGATGCACGTCTTGCAAAAGGCAGCCGTAATGTTCACACAGAAGAACGGCACCCAACATATGAGAAACACGCCCATTATGACGCCCACTGTGACCGCTGCCTTGTGATCGGATACGTGATATGGCGAGCTGTGATGCAAGTTGCGCACCTTGAACTTCTTTGGCTGATTCTTGGGTCGACGTATGCTCTTGTACCGTTGCTTTTCGGCCACCTCGCCGGGTCGTGTTACCGCCTTAATAGACTTGACATGTTTCTGGGCATAGCAGTAAAGCCTGACAAGAGGGAAAGAGTATGGTTTAGGTAATTAAAATGCAAATATATATGGTAGGCATACAACTAAAGGTAAATGAATCAAATGAATTTGGCTTTAATTTAATTATAAACGATTTTAGATAATTTGGATTTGTGCAATCAAGGTTAATTAATTTACTCGATGTTGATTTCTTGTTTTATTAATTACCCTATTATATGCACTAACCAGCTCTGGCTTGGGTTCACTTCTGATTATAAATTACTCTGTAATTATTCTGCTTATTCATAAAGTACTTTTTGTAACATGGATATTGCCCTTAAGCAGCTTTAATCTAATGAAATGTACTCCAATGAAGGGAATTCGATATCTAGCTGTCTAATTGTAGGTCAACTGAGTGTTTGCGTCTGTCTTCTGTTGTTGTAACTAATATGATAATTATTTACTTGTCTTGGCATGCCAATTAAACAGCCCGCCCCAGGGAAGTCCTGCTGGGCCAGCCACCTTATCGACAAATGTTTGGGGCACATAGTGCGTATACTTAATATTTGACATGGTTTGTTGGTTGTTTGCACTGGCGTACACAGGGCACGTGCTAGGTGGCTCGTTTACTGATCTGCAAAAGGATACATATGCTCAGGCCCTACAAGAAAAGGATAACAAGGCTGTGCACAAATTATGACGATAAAAGTCCATTTATTCTGTTATTTAACCGAAATTTGATAGAACATTCCAATGACAGCAACCAGACAGACACTCTAGTCGATGTCATGAGCCCCGAACTTGATGGGCGGTAGAAAGCGCTCATGGGCGTGTAGCCAGCAGCTTGTGTCCATTTGTTGCGTTCGCCCATTGGCCGCAAATCTCGTTAAGCTAAAATGGCAACGTGCCACTCGCCGACGGGTATATTGCTGATGAGCAGCCATATCGAAGTGCTGCTGTTGTAGTTGCTGCTGTTGGTGTTGATGATGTTGGCGTCCTGTTGCCCTCCTTGGTCGTTTTGTCTAGCCCTTTACGCACACGCCCCAGTCTTTGACCGGCGGTCCGCCTTCGGCCCTGCTAGGGGATTACTTAGCTGGACACTAATGCGTGCGCTTATTTGTTTGCCTTATTTCCCTTTCTCGCAACTGCCAGCTCGTGCCTGGGCACCATCAGCTCCAAAGTCCTTGCGGCCTTTCAGCATTGCGACAACAATTTCGAAAGTGTTTACCACATTTTATTATTTACGTTTTACGACTTTGCGAAACACATAAAAATATTCAAATTCTTATTATTTTTTTCCTTGGGCCGCATTTGATAGTTGGCACAGTAAAACTTAACCTTATTCTCAACTAATGTTTTTGAGATTAATGAGCCTAGTTAGCTGTGGAAGGGTCTACTTGTTGTACCTATTCCTGGGAACTAGGTTATACATAATTTGTATAAGACGAAGGTTAATTTCGTAGCACATTTTAAATATTTAGCTAATTATAACAGGTCAAATTAGTATTAAAGGTTAAAGTATTTTTTGGCCTTGTGTGTGGGTCGTTTCCGACACGCGCCGTCAAAGCAAATATCATTTCAAACTTTTCGCATTCCTGTTATTGCCAGGAATTTCATTTTCTTTTGTGGCTTTTCTTTTTGTTTCTAATGTCATATTTTAGCGCTGAATAATTGTGCACTTGCGGCTTTTGGGCCAACTATAAGTACTTTATGTGCAAATGTTTCAGGGCATTTTATGACATCCGTCGGCCTTGTCCTCCATACTCACCGACAGTAGATGCCAATCATGACCACGCAGGGAAAGTAGAAACTGATACAGCTGGAGACGACAGCATACGTGGGCGTCAGATCCAGTGCGCATGTGGGGTACTTCTTGCCATTATCCTCGAAAATCAGCGGCTGGTCGGGTCGATGGATCCCCAGCGAGATGGGCACAAACGAGACGAACGCTGCCAGCAGCCAAATAGCTGCAATGGTAATAACAGCCACCCGGCGTGTCACCCATCGTCCGTATCTGCAATGAAAGCGAGGGAAAGGAGCACATCAATTTCAAGTATAGGAAGTGTTTGGGATTGTTCCTTGCGGTTGCCAGCAGCAAAGGGTAGGCAACAAAAACAAGAACTGGACATGGTAGCAGCAAGAGCAACAGTCACTAGAAAATGGGCCATGTTGTGATTGCGGCTTTGCATGTTGGAGGCAGCTGGGGCAACATCAGCTCTGGGGCGTGTGCGACAAGTGTTGGAATGCAGCGGCCAGAATTTAGTTGGCCCAAGGTGTGTATGAGGCGTAGCTGCGTTCGTGTAATACGCACAGTGGTACGGCCTTGTTGCATGTCATTAATTACCCGAACAGAACGGAACAGTCTGCGGTAAATCGACCTAAACCGAGACCCAGCCGCAGCACAAACCATCGAAAATTAAGCATTCGCAAACGCAATGTGGTGCTTGGTGGTGCTAGTGACGTATGCAAATCATGGTGTGCGGTTTTTCATAGCACTTCGATTTTGACAGCGGACGCACAATTTGCTTTTACAGCAGCGGAAATGAGCAGGCAGAAACCTAAGGCTGTTGGCATTTTATGTGCGTGTGGTTGTGTATGCGTGTGTGTGTGTGTGTGTGTATATTGCCTTTTGCCGCAGCATTTTGGCTTGTGCAAATGTAACCGCTGGCTGTGCGGTAGACATGGGGCAGGAAATCAAACAGAATAATTCGATTTCAATACAAAGACGCACTCAGCCAATGCGCCGACCAAAAATACTACAGATGACAAGCGAGCGTACGAAACGGAAAAGGAAGTTTAGGTAATTGTATTCACAAACAAATTCGATTTCATATGGCACCAAAATTGATTTCCATTCGAGCAGCAACGGCAGCAGCCCGCAGCGGTTGCCATTTAGTTGGCATCCAGCCCAAAGCCTATTCGGCCCTATTGGGGCAGAGGCCTAGAGAGAGAGAGGCACAGACGTTGCCTGTAAGTGCAAACACCTGGCACCCATCACCCATATCACCCATCAGACTTTGCTATGCAAGTGCCAAGTGGCGTCACACGCGCCCATTGATAGAGCAGCCAATCATGCCTCAAAGAGCTAATTGAAAACGTGTGTGTGTGTGTGCCTCGGCCTCAGAGCAAAGTTGGCCGCATTTGCATTTAATGTTTCCAGAGTGTGTAGGTGTGTGTGAGTGTGTGTGTGCCACACGCACTTAAGAAATTACAGTCAGGCACGCACAATGACAACCATCTATTTTGCTTATGTTTGCGGAGGGGTAAGACTGCATAGTTCGGCTAACTCTGGCGTTTATTTTGTTTGCCGCTTGTCATGTGATGTTTTATGAGCTTTTGCGAGCGTGCTTAAATGTTGCAAGCACATGCTGTTGCTGTTGCTATTATTGTTTTCAAGTGTTGCAGGCATATGACAGTGTGCTTAACCCACAACCAAAACCCCGCCCAACCAGGCCAAAAGACACACAATTACAAACATTCCCCAAAGCGACATTCTCGTTGGCCTTTGTCGCTTAACTGTTATACCTCTCGCTCGCTCATGCATAACCAACACAGTCCGCCCTCTCTCTCTCTCTCTCTCTGGCCACCATAAAAGTTGGCGTCACTTTTATTGCAGTTTAAAGTGAATTTTATGCATGCACTCATATGTTCGCTCTGGGCCTGACAGTTACGATGATAACAGGCGCTGCCCCAGCTTTAACTTTATCGCATAAAACAACTTTTTTTCTTAATTCTACCATAATTTTAACTTTGTCATCGCCTGCTTCTAATTTGATTTGCACGCGCTTTTCACTCAAATTATGTTTTTTTTGTGCCTTTATTTTTGCCAATTTTTGCTGGCAGCGCGCAAATCTTGGCAGGCGCAATTAAATTAAACGCTTGCAATTATTCTAAGACGCTAAGAAAATACGCCAAAATTTTTAGCTGCAGAGGCGGCCACCCTAATGAGACGCCAGCGCTGGCAGTTCGCGAACTTTGGCAGCAGTAAGAAAAACTGAAGAACTCAAATGCTGTCCCCACTTTGACATGCAAATAAATCAGATTTGCATAAAGACCAACGCCTGCTGCCATCGTCCTGCTGCGCCAGCATTAATACCGCCAGACACGCAGTATTCAGAACCAGACGCAGACGCCCATCAGCATCCAGGCGGTAAAAATAATATAAATTGTCTTCGGCGTGACGAAGACTAAATACACTTGAAGATTTTAGTTGTTAATTAGAGATTTTCAAAAGTCTGTCCTAAGTATAGCTTATAAAGCGAGTAAACTCAGTTAGGCATCACCGTATATTTGCATTGTTAGAGGCTTAGCAAATATTAAGACGTAGTCTAGAAAAAAAATGTATTGCTTTATGAATAGAGATATAGGAAGGAAAAAATCTTTGAAATAAATTTATTATTCTTGAACTCAGTAAAGAAAGAATAATACATCGGAGACATACATTGGAATAAATTTAATTTTTTTTAGATTTATTTTAATTAATTTTTCTTTCTCATCTTATTTATAAGAAACTTAATTTTTCTTAGTAATGCTCTAAAACTTTTTAAGCATTTTATATTCCTAGATTTTATCAATTCTTTCCTTTTTTTGCTATTCTTTATTACGCAGCCTTAATACTCTCTTCAAAGAGTATAAACGAAATAGAGTCAGAAGTGTGTTGCTACGCGTGGGATTTTTGCTGCCAGAGAGAATCACTAGGGAGTTGGGCGTGGCATTCTTGCGGGAGTGCTAGGCAGGGTTTTGGCCCCTTAAGTGAGGGCCGCAGACACACTCGGGCCTCAGTATAATGTCCATTAAACGCAGGGGTATGCAGTAGCCAAACTAGATTTAAATGTATTTAAATTGGCCTGTAGGTCAAATGCAAATTTGCCAAAAACTGCGCAATGCTTTTGTTCTCCTCCGGCCACATTCAGTTAAGAAACAAAAATTTGTTTGCCTCTGATAATGAAAAATAATATTAAATTCTAAAATAATCAACAAAGAAATTCTCTCAACAAATTATTTTAAGCTACAAAATGTAGCTGTTAACTCAATAGCATTCACAGCTTGATTAAGTTGAACTGCCATTTATCTAAAAAATTATGGCTTAATAAATTTTCACTTAATATAAAAAACTTTTCATGGCTTAATTAAGAGAAGCTACTGTAGCAGCTTTGAATCACTCTAAAATTAATAAAATTGCCAGCAAACTTTTTGCATTCCGTTGTTTTGGCCAGCAAAAAATATGCCACCTAAATCCGCACTTTACGACCAAGTCAACTTTGGCAAGTGGATAAAGTACATCAACTCGTTATGTTTCGAGAAGGTTTCGAAATAAAAAATCTAATTTAACTCACAAAGACACACATACAACAAGAGGGCGTGTGGCGATTCTATACGAATGTTGTGTAACATTTTTAATAAACGAACAAACTTCAGTTTGCGGCATGTCAGACGTGGCAGGTGCAAGTGGAGCAACAAATGCCGGTAAGCTAGAAAGTAAGCGCATAAATAGACAGACGATGGACAGCAAGCAGCGGGAATCTGGTGGCTGGTGATGGGCTAAATATTTTTATACCCTAAGCCCATTGAAAATGAGAAAAAAGGGTTTAATAATTTTGTGAAAAGTATGTGAGAGGCAGGAGGAGGCATCTCCAACTCCATGAAATAGTTTAACCGAGTTCATTTACCCGAGTCCGTTTGTCTGTCAGTCGAACTCCGAGACTATGAGAGCTTCAATATCGAAATCCTGTTCTTTGAACACATAGTGTAGCTCCCAAGAAGTAGAATGGTATGAAACCCGAAATATTTAACTTTTGGGATGCATCGCATATGCCGCAGCATAAAGTGCTCAGTTTGCGGCGTGCGAACTCGTGAGTATATGTGGGTTCTAGCGCCAGCTCAACACTGATTGCAGGGTATCCCCTATTCGGGCAGTCTCCACTAGAGCACTCTTATCTGTGCCACTCTTGGCTTGTGCTGAAAATAGCATCAAAGGATTTATTATGGCTCTTCGCAACAGCGACAGCAGCTGCCAGCGTGCTACCCACAGCCAGAAATGTCTCCTTGTCATATGTGGTCAACATATTTTTTTTTTCCAAACGATGACCCCTTCCTACCACCCACTGGGCGTGCCCTTAACAGCCGCTGAGCCACATTAATTTCGTTTGTATAGCTGCTGTGAACTTGTCTTTGGCTGTCAGCGACTTGGCCACCGCCATTTTGAACAGTACGCACACACAGTAACACACCCACACCCACACAACTTTGTTTGTTGTTGCTTGTCGCTGACATGTCATAAATTTATCGTTTGATTTTGTCAAAAAATTGTTTTATTTGAGCTTCCGAATTTTGGTTGGTTTCCCGTTTTGTGGTTGCGGCGTTGCCAAAAAAATTTAATTAACACACAATTGTTGTGCCACAATGAGGTCCAAACGAAACGCTGATAAAGTTGTTTCCACTCTCTGTATTGTCCATTGTCCGTCCCTGCTACTTGTTTCGGCAGTCAATTTCAAACGCGCGGCACAGTTGCTCAGCTACCACAAAGCAAACGTTACACGCCACTTGCATATGGCCCGCAGGTTGGCCAACTGACAGAATGCAATATAAGCAGCCGATCAAGACATTGTGTCACACCCAGGCATCAGGCACGGCACAGCAACGCTGGCGACCAGCTGAGTTGGCACAATTTCATTGTGTTTGCCAAACACACACACATGTACTTGCAGGGCAACACATATTATATATATATATATATCTGTGTGGGTGTATGGAAGCTTAAGTTTAAATTGGTGGCAGCAGGTGAAATTCGTGCGCCTTTAAGAAATAACAGAACTCGAACAGCGCTAATGGCTGGAATTCTTTATGACCTAAGCGAAGGAAGCACATAAAAATTGAGTGGCAATTTCCTTGAGTACTTAGCTCATATGAAGCTAAAAAATCTATACTAAATTCTAATCTTTTTGTCACTGGACATATATAAGCCTAATCGCCAGTAGGTTATACATATTAGCTCTTGCATATATAAATATTTCAATTCGTTAAGTATTGGGTGAAAATCATTTCAAGCAGAGATTAAATTCAAATCCACTTTTGATTCAAATTAGGGCTAAAAGCTGATTGTTCTGTTTATGAGCCTATCACATTTATGAACGTGGGCTTTGGTTGAAGACTTTGTTTTTTAAGTCGAACATATTTTCATAAATAAGTTGCACACTAATTTTGATCTCTACTCAACCTACATTAAGCAAATATGATTAGATATATATAAAATGGTTGTGGCCTTTGTTATTTATGCTTCATGTTGGCTTTTGTTAAAAACGGTTTGTTTTCTCGGATTTGTGTTTGACTGCTGTTGGGTAACGACAATTAAAGGTTCGGTTTATGATAGAATATAAACTGAAATGCCGGCCTCGAAATTTAAATATGGGTAATTTTTTTAAAACATAGTCAACAAAATGCCTTAATTCTTTGAACGTATTTAACTAATATTTGTGAGTCAGTCATAGTGCGATTAAGCTCGACTAAAAGTTACCAGTACACCTGGTAAGTAATTCTAAATGTGTTTAAAAGAAATAGGTCATTTGGATATTTCAATCAGGAAATTGCAAAAGTGGCTAAATTATTGTGTTCAGCTTTCTTGCAGTTGTGCCAAAGGTGGTCAATTGAAAAGCTATTAGGATAGTCGTTTGGCTTATTGGAATGACTTGCGGAATAAGTTGAAGTATATACTAAGTGCCTGTTTGGCTAACTAAAGCCACAAACCAGGGGCTGGTGATGCAGCAAAAGTGCTTAATAAAGCCAAAAAATGAAGCCACATCCATGCTAAGAGCGTACTGATCCTGCTAGCAAGCAAAAAATAAATAAAATATTGTTAATGCCCAATAAATCTGTTACTAATGAAACAATTATGTGCTGCGATTAATGAGAGGTGGCGCCATAAACAAGTCGAGGGCCTGAAGCACCGCAAAGTGAACGACCAAGAACTGGCAATGAGAAACGTGACGTGCATGGCAACGCGGCGGATGAGCAATATGCATGAGATAGAATGCCGCTCGTGCAGCAGTGCGGCAGGGGGCAGGGGGGCAGTCTATGCCACTTGGCAGGTCTGTTTTTAATAAATCGATATTTAATCGGGATTTCATTGGAGCGTCAATGTCACATCAATAATATTTTCCACTCACTTGCTGACAGACAACAAATATGCGCTGCTTTCGGCTCTAAATACGTATAACTCTGGCATCAATGCTAAAATCAATAGGGGGGGCGCGGGGCTCTATGTGCTCGTCTAGTACAGGACATTCTACTGGCCGGGGACTCGATGCACAATTAATTTCGATAGATTCATGTGGAGAACGCGATGACAGGCAGCCATAGCTATTGATAAATTGTGTAATTCATGCATGTGACAGTTTCATCAACGTTGTCATCATCATGATTAGTTACGGTACTCACCTGAGCGGGTCCTTGATGTGTATGTAACGGTCCATGGATATGGCGCACAGATTCAAAATAGATGCCGTCGAGCACATGACATCAAAGGCCACCCAAGTATCACAAAACTCTGCACCAAAGATCCAATAGCCTGTAATACAGTAAAAAAAGAGTAATAGTTGAGCTCTTGATTGATTGATTGATTGATTGATTGGCCGAATGATTGACTAACTGCCGGACTGATTGCTTGTGAAAAATACTTAATAACTTTTTGCATACGACTGCTCCACTGGGTAAATGCAATATAAGTGGATAAATACGAGCTGGAGCGGAAATTGCCATGTTCCGGTTGACAGGGGCAAGAGGGAAATTCTTAATTTTCTCGACAACGCCAGTAAATGTAACAACAGCATATGTAACGAGCAACAAAAAAAAAAGGCCACCGAGTCCATCGATTTAAATATCCTTTAGTTTATGAAAGGGTATGCTCAGAAAATGCAAAGTGGCTTGCATATGAAAAGAAAACGTACCCATTAAAGCTGAGCCCATCATGCTAGCTGTAAGCTTAACATGCAGCTTATCAGGCGCTCCATGTAAAGGATTTATGAATATTTTAAATGACTCTGTTCTCCTGTTCAAGTAAGCTGAATCTGCTTGGAAAATTATCAAATATACTTGTTCATCTTTGAAAATGTTTACAAGGTAAGTTACCACTTTGATTTACAATTTATAAGCATCGTTTTCAGTTTGTTATCAAAAACAGAAACGTTAAAACTGTTGGCGAGGCTAAGAATGGGGAACTTTATATTTTATTGGAAAACGTTTTTTTTTTTTTTGAGCGGCTTACCAAATGGTATGATTAAGCCGAGAGCACGATAATCCCTCTCGGTTAAAATTGTACGGAATCTGGCTGTCGATCAGGCTTTCATATATACAGTAGTCTTGCAAGCTCGCCCGTTTTTGTTTACTTATTCGTAACGCAAATTGAGTTTAAACGATTTCATAAATTAATTTCCGTTTCCTGTCAGCTTCAGCCTCTGTATTTCAGTATGTTCATGTACGCTTTTAACATATGACTCTTTGTGGCAGAAATAAAATGAGCCCTTTTCATGGCATTTCAGTAAGTACGCTGTAATTATAAAAAAGGAATCGGCAAGCGATTCGAGCCTCCAGAACCTCATGAATGAATGCTCTGTGCGTGCTCTGAACTAACAACCGTAACGGAAGTCCGGCGCTGTGTCCATTGAACCCGGGTAGGAAATCACCGTCGCACGCATAAATACATAAAAGTGGGGTCATGATAAATTCAATAACAGATCTCAAAGCCAAACACATTTATTTACTATGCGTGGGTGAGCTCTGATTTCATGATATTTGATGATATGCATACATCATGCTTATGGTGGCGCTTATGCTGCGCCATGTGTGGCACAGGATATAGCTCTTTAGCGCTGTGGATGTGACGCGTAAGCAAAAAGGCCACTTCCATCATCACAAACTGCTTTCAATAGTTATCTGCCGCCGCACTCTACTGCAGATATCTGGCTGCGAGATATCGACTCTCAATGGTTTCTTTATCGTAAATCCATCGTTACCTTTTTAAATATGCTTGACTTTTTTATTCACTTGCAAATAGTTTATTATAAATAAGAGACCTTGTGTCACAGGTCATACTTTATGTGTGGAAAGAAATATCTCTGACTGCAAAAAGTTAATACCTGATATTTTTGAACGGTGGATTCAAACAAACTTTGCCCAACTGGACCTACATTTATTTATTTTTTTTAAAATTAATTGAAGTCACAATTTAAATATTTTATAACCATGCTGATGGCCACTAATAAAGCAAGTTATGTAATTGAAATAAAAAAAAAGTTTTCAATTTTAACCACTCAACCTGTTTATTCACTGCCTGGGAGCGCCACATAGCAATCCAGCTGGGAATTGGTATCAATTATGCTGCGTTAATGCATACCCTTTGACAATTTAAGGCTTATGACAAATATTTTGATATGCCCTTTCAGGCCGTCTGTCAAGATGTATGAAATATTGCGACAATAATGATTTGTTGAATATATATGTCTATATACACACACAAAAAAAGTATATATAAAATATGACACAGCATTGCAGGTTACACCTTTAGACTAGTGTGAATTCACATTCACATCTCTCGACAATGGCATTGTGAGTTTTTAAGCATTGCTCCCGGCTGCTTGAAACGAGCACTTACATTGACAGGCGAGGCAAGTCGACGAATCGTCAAATAATTCGAGCTGCTTTCATATAGGACTATACATATTTATAAATACTTAGTGCTTGTGCCCAATCTGCGATATGAGTATATTCAATGACTTTGCTTGTGTATTTTGTGAACTGGCGCAGCTGTTGCCACCTCTCAGAGTCCCTGTGGCCTGTTGTTGCTCAAATTTGTATAAATATGCTGGCGCTTGTGCGTTTATTTGCTGATTTGCCAGCCTTGGAGCGTGCCAAATGTTGTTTTACTGGCACCCTCACAGGTTCATGTTTGCCGGCACTTTGTCGAAAATAATTTGGCTGAACAGCTCTCGATCCGCATGTGTACTACGACATATATGTTGGTCCTTAGGCACCTCAGCTGGCGCTCCAGATGCTGTTTGTCTTCAACACTCTGCAAGCAGAGCATTTTTATTTATTTTTTCACACTTTCCGCTTAGGCAGCAGCAGCAGCATTAGGAGTGTCTGAATCCAGGACCAAGTTCTGAATCCTTCTTGAAGTAACAAAGCCGTTTATTATTTTTACGCCCAAGCAGACAAACGGAATCACAAACATACAACTTCATATATGGCACACATAGAGACCAGTATGTATCTCTTTTCTGTTCTGCTGCCGATGTAACGCATCACTAGACTTCAGCACATTTCCTCCAACCTAAGTATTTGTTTGTGTTTTGCCCTCTCATTGGTTACTCGCTGAACACGCATTGATGTCAGCTGCATGCTGTCTCAGGCCGAACTTGTCGTCTATATAAGTTGTAGTAGCTTCCAGTTACGGCCAGCAAGTCTTCAAAGCGTCTTCGCCTATCGCTAATTTGCCAGCCATTTACGAAGTCGTCCATTCGAAACTTGTATTTCAATTTAAAGAACGCGATTTGACCACTCCAAAATGCAAAACTCTCAAGAGAGCAGGCGCTTCGGAGAGCCTTAGCTTCCGCCTGCCTGCTGATAACTTTGTCAACATCAAATTTATAGACTTCAAGGATTCCAGGCTACAGCTGCCGCTCACTTGGGTTCTGCCATTATGCTTGAGTGTAGTCAAACTATAATAATTCCTTTATAAGGCATGTAAACTTTGCATATTAGCTAAAAGCAGTGAATCTGAGGCTTAGACATGCCAAAAAAAAATGAAAATTCCTGTTGGCTAAGTAGTTTCACCTTTTTGCAGGCGACTGCATGCGGCGGCATGTGTATTGTGCACTCAGCGGAGGACTGGCTTTGTGAGCACTCAACCGGCGCGACAGTGCAGCTGACACTTTAAAAGGCACTGTACAGAGAGCCCCACAAGATCCCCGCTTTAAGCGCTGCCAGGCATGTCAAATGGGCTCACACGAACGCCCCCGTTACCCAACCAACTGGTTCCATTAGCCCCATGGAGCCGCAGTTTTTGCATGTTGTCGAGTGGTTTATTTGCGCGACAGCCTGCAGCATTTTACATAAATTTATTGCTCGACAATTTCAATTGCAAATTTCCGTTACACTGTCTGCGAATGATATTCGTACTTACCAAGCAAATCGTTGACGCCCGCGAATGTCATCACCAAAGAGGCCACAAACAGATCCGCAATCGCTAATGAGGCCAGAAACAAATTGCCAATGCGGCGCAGGCTCCGCTCCGTATAGATGGCCAGGCAGACGAGTATATTGCCGGCAACCGAAAGGAATATCAGCAGCGATAAAAAGACGCCTACGGCGGGGCAGAGAGTGAGGCAGATTAGACGCATGTGTATTGTAGAAAGGAAACGTGAACATTCATAAATATAGCATACATAAGGGGGTCGAACCAATGACAAGCATGTGTGCGTGTGCGTGTGCGTTTGCGTGTATGCGTAAGTGTGTCCGCGTTTGAGTGTTTGTATAATAAGGCCACATGCGTTTCTGTGCGCTAATTGAACAGCAAATATTTTGTTGTGTACTGTGCAAAGTGGACAAGTACGCGTGCAAGTGGATGGTGCGGAGGGTGCGAATGTTGCGGGTGGAGACGATGCCGGTGTCTGTTTCGCTTGTTAGACGTTCAACGACATTTACTTTACCAACAACTACAATTGACACAAGTGAGAGCGGTTCCGGTTCCTCACCAACTATTGTATCCATTTCAGAGGCGTTTGTCCAGCTCGTCTCGTTGAAATAAGATGTCAGCTGCAATGTGAAAAGAAGATAAAGAATATTATTTTAAGTGACTTTTAACTAAACCACAACAAAACCAACAAGACTCTTATTCTATGGCCAGCCACTTTATCTCTGCATTGGCAACATATGCGCTGCCAGCCCATGCCAGCATATTATCCTTTGTCTCTATGAATTTCCCTCTTAATTACTTGCCATTTAAGTTGCCGCATGGAAAACATGGGGCCACGCGGCTTTTCAGTATAAACAGAGTGCGGGGGCTACGCCAAGTTTTAATTAACATCAAAGGCTTTTGACTTTGTCCTTACGTTAAACTAATTAAATATATAAATTGTGTATGTGACACAAACTGCTCGAGAATGAAACATTTTACACTAATTAAACGAAAAGCATAAGTTTTCGCTGGCCTCCGATGTTCAATTACGATGTGTCCTCCCTCCTCCCTCCTCCAGCGTCCCCTTGAACAAACAGAGTCGTGTGGTTTGTTGTCTGTGGTTAACATGTCTTGCTGCGGTTGGCTGGGCCTATCATAGAAACTATCAATCATTCGGCGTATGCGGTTGCTTAGGAGCGACGCACTTAGTTGGGGCCAAGACATAAGACAGAAGGCAAAGCAAACCGCATTATTCATAATTAAAATCGACAAACTTCTATACTATTACGCTTAAAATGGTAAATTTCTAGGCCATTATATAATTAATTTGTAAAACTAATCCAATATCGTTCCAGCTGGGATGTGTGTCTGTCAGTGCGGATTTGCAGTGCGGTTTTGCCAGTCCGCAAGTCTGTCTGCGAGTGCGAGTGCGTGTGCATATGTGTGTGTGTGCTTGGCATTTCGGCTATATATGTATTTCCATGTTGGCATTTCTGTGGTTGGCTCATCTTTGCCTTCGGGTAGGTGGCCAATGCTATACTAGCATGAATTTAATTCGATTGCCAACCACAACGGAGCGCTGCTCCTACATGTGAATCGAGTTGTCCGAATGAATTTATTAATTGTGAGTCCAGCTACGAAAACTCAGCATTCAATGCCGAGTCAAATACAAAATAAAAAAATTTCAATTAAAACGTTGAAAATATTAGAAGGTCTAAATGGTCCAAGGATAACGAATGCGTAGGCTTTCCAGCTCTGCTGTTATGACCACTCGGCGGCATTAATATGCAAGCCAGACAGCCCTTGTGAATAATGATTTTCACTCTTCAGGCGCCAGACGAAGGTATAATTACTTTCACTCAAAGTTTGCAACGCTCCAGACTTATAGGCAGCAGGACTCGTCCGCAGTACTGTACAGTTTTGAATTTTAAAAAAAAATTAATTTCATTCATTACAAAAATAAAATGAAATCCCGTATACATTACACAGAAATTAAATATATTTCATACACCAGTGACTACCTGTTGGCAGTAAAACGATAACATTGCGTTTGATTAAAACCGTATTTGAGTTTTAAATTCGTTTTTATTGTTATACTATTTCAAAACGATAGCACAAGCTTGGATGATAACTTTAAATTACAGATTTTTTTCGCTCACAAATGAAGCCTTAAACTCTTTTTAGGCTTTAAGGAATAGAAGAGGAATCAAAATGTGGATAAAATTAGGAAAGTGCAATAAGTCGAATGCTTAATTTTTACTTTGTCAGTTATCAGTTCGAGTTTTTAAATATTATTTTTTAAATAAATTATTTTTAATTACTAATTGTCAGTTTCACTTCATTAGACATTTCTTTTTAAATCGAGTCTCTTATATTTATATTATTTTATTTGCTTTTATAAAAAATACAAAGGTAAATTTATGAAATAAAATGCACAGCTTATTAAAGAGTATTCAATGTTCTCAGCGCACGCACATTTGACAGCTCTTTTTGTGCGACCCACTCGGCGTATGTGTAACATTTATTTCCCACAGAAATGTACGCATACAAAACATAGGCAGCAAAAATGCAAATGAGAATAATAAAAAGCGGCCTCAAAACCGCTGACACATGCAATTAATTAATTTAAACATAAAATTGCCATTGCTGCAAAAGTATATTTAACTTGTCTGCAGCCGACGAGAGAAAATAACATGGGAGTATGTGTACACCTGTTTACTGCTGCTAAATTTATTAATTTAATTTTACTGCACGCCTTTGAGTTCTTGCGGATATACTTTTTAAGCTGCTTAAAAGCTGCTAATTGCTTGAAAAGCGCAGCTTTATTTACATGACCCGGCGGCGCTCAACCCATATTTTATGCCAATAGATGAGGTCAGAAATGCCTCAAGGCTTTCAGCGTCAATGAAATTCAATAAATAACAAGATGCCAAGAGTGCAATGTATATTCCAATTAGGCGTCGAGATTAGAATTACAGATATGGGCAAAGCAAGATGTATTGAATGAAACAAAGCGTTATTCAAAGCGATTTTGTATAAATTATTAAACGTGTTGAGTTTAGGGCCTGGTTTGTGAGCTTTTCAATGTGAAGTTGATTTGAATATTTCATGGGTTTAATTTCAATTTCAATATTAACATAAGCTTCTTAAATCAACATTTCATAATTTAATAATTACGTTTAAGTAAGTAATTCGCCGGCTCACAGTGAGCCCAAAGGTGTTTTCAGCTTCGACTTCGTGTCGCTGCTTTACATTTAAGCAATATGAATTATTAATTCAAAACTTGGCCAACATTGATTGTCAGTAAATGGCCATCTGAGTCAGATGCCAGTGTAGATTCATCAATATTTATATAATTATTTAAGTGCAATATTTAAGGATTACGCTTGAATTTACAATAAATGGGCTTAATTGGCACGAAGAGCTTTAGTTTTTCATTTGATGATCATTAACTCATTGTGTGCATAAAAAAGACACTTGAGATTATACAAAAATTACATTAATTGCTTTTGTATGTCACGGTTTGACAGAAACATATTCATTAAATGAACAGATTTTAAACGCTGTCAAACATCACAACGTTTACATACCCTGCAGACAGTGCATGCTTGAAACTGGTATTATAAAATATCTTAAAAGAGAGCAGCATTTTTGTGACTATTTAAACATTTAACTTTTATATCGCAGAAGATTAGGTTATAACTCTCCAGCTATACCAATTTTTTAGTGCATTTTGACTGAAATATCAAAATTGAGCAAACAATAATCGATAGAATATTGTTCATCATTCCATCAATATATTCTTTAATCCGTAGTCTGAGCGCAGGGTATCTCACAGTCGAGCAGTGTATAACTTATGGAATTGGTTAGTGTTTTCCTTCCTTATTTACATTATTAAAATCCCGTTAACAATCAACAATGAACATTAAATAAAAATAAAATAAAATAAAAGTGCCATCGATAAATGACCGCCACTTTTTATGGCATTATACGCATTCAGAAAATTCTTTATTAAATCCTGATTTTTAACTATTTAATTTCAACAGTTGCAATTGAAGCAGTTAGCATGGAAAGAGCTTTACAGAATCCGCTTCATAGACTTCAGAACACTTTGTGAATGTGTGCATGTAATAAAATAAAAAACAAAGGTTAGACACTAGACAGAATAGTTAGACACTAATAGAATAGCACCTGCTGCATTTAATTGGCAATAAAATTGGACAACAAATATCAGAAGACAGCTACAGAGGGTAGCCTGAAAAGTTTTACTAAGTTCCTACAAGGAAAAGGCTCATGTTTCTGTCCCAAAATAAACACTTGCGGCTTTTCCCCTTTGTTCAGCACAATCGTATTACTTCCTTTGCTGACTAAAATTGAAAGAGCTTAGTCTATAAATATAATAAAACAATTATACTAATGTTTTCATAGAATTTATTTTCGCCAGAATGAAGTAAAGCTACAAAGTCAAATAAGTTCAACTCGCAGACAAAATTATTATTATTATTACTGCTTTTTTGCAATGTGCTATTCCAAGTAATTTATTTCTCATTTTATTATATTAATTTGTTTTAATACGCAATTTTCTGTTGAAACTGTTTTCGGAATTAAATACAGTGTCAGATACTTAGAAATCGTTCACTGAAATTCTCTTTGTAGTTTTCCTTGGGCCAAATTTTTGAACATGATGAATATTTAAGGAACCTAAATTAAAGAAAACAAAAAGTGGTTTGCATTTGGAATGCAACATTGCCAGCTCTTATTGCTAGTTAGCCTTCGGTGACCAATATGACTTCTTATACATTTTTAAACAGCACTTGAAAGTATTTTTATGTAGCCGGATTGTTATTAAACTGCTCCGGATAAGGCAGGCGGATACATATAGGGGACAAGCAGAGGGTCGCCAGGAGATACAGAAAACAGGGACACAAAACAACAGGCCGCACTGTGTGTGTGTGATGCGTGTGTGCGTGTGTGTGGGTAGGCGCTTAGGCTCTGTTTGTAAAGTTAAATGGCACAATGCGTTGATTAAACGTCAAAACACCCACACTTACGCACACACAACAAGGAGACGGGCAAATTGGCAGCCAGCGGCGTCCAAGCGAGCAACGCAACAAAGCCGACTACAATATTATTGCGCAAAAGG